CCCAGCAGGCCTCCCAGATGGCCACGGGAGGCCCCACGGTGGCCCGCAGAGGCCTCCGAGACGCTCCCCGAGCGGCGCACGCGCGGCGAGCAGCGACACACAGCCACTCTACCAGGGCGGCCCTGGGCACGCACGACGTCATACAGTCATCGGCCTGACCTCAGGAACGATAAATCAGGAACGAAGCCCCTTTTCTCCAGGGAATAACGCATAAGCAACGATAAATGATACATAATGCAGAAGGAACGATAAATGGAACGACGGAGCCCTCTTTGAAAAGTAAGCGTTCCTTATCCAAGCCGCTCACTGTACGGGCACCGAAAGTAACGACGTGCAGTCACGCAGACGAGAAAGCCACGAGGAGCAGCGAAACGCGCACGACCACGCGTGCGCGACTCAGCACACGCACGGGCAGCCTGTGGCTGCTTTGGTTGGGTGGTTGCCTACTGTCGCTCTCTGATCAAGGCAACTCGCCTTGTGATGTTTTTGGATGGGCTGATGGGGGCACGCAAAGTGTTAAGAAATGCGCGGGTGCCGCCAGGGGTAAGGAGATTTGCCCGTTCGCGCCCAGATGCTGGGGATCGCTCAGGCGGTTTGCCTGTTTGGTTGATCAGACGTCTCTCTTGTCAGAGCATTATGTTCATCGCGATGTAGCAGGCGTGGCACTTGAGCACCCCCAAAGAGGAACCCCCACGGAAGGGAACATTGACCCGTTCGCGCCCCGATGGTGGGGATGTCTCCGGCGGCTTACCTGTTTGACTGATCTGCTTGTGCGCATTTGAGCACTCCAAGGGAGGGCCGCCAGGGAGCGCAGATTCGCCACCGGCTAGAACTCTCTTGCTCGGGCACGCACAGACGGGAGCGCCAGGAACCGAGATGCACATACGAGGTCCCCGCGTCAAACGATTTCGCTCCGCCGGATCTCAGGAATGCCCTGATGAACGCCCAGCCCACGCCCGGCCCAGAGCTGCTCAAATCGGCCCCCAGACCCTGGACCCCTGCACGGGGTCCATCCTGACCCGGTTTCTCGGGGCGGATCCAGCGGCGGCGGCGGCGAGGGGCTTCCAGGAGGCCCACAGAGAACGAAAAGCACTGCCGTTGTCTCGACTGGGACACCCCACGACAGAAAAAGGAGCCCGTGATCCCAAGGCACGACGGGGACCCTGGCCGCACCGCCCCCAAGCACGCAACACGCCCGTGCCGCGCGCTGCCTCTCCAGCTGGGGCTCAGAGACGAGGCCAGGGAACGCTGGCTTCACCGGACGCACTGCCAGGGCTCCGCTCACAGCGAGAAGCCCGTCGCGCTGCGGGTGCACATGTCGCCGCAACGGTTGTTCTCGACGCGCCCACGTGGACGACGCCGACACCACGGCGAACCCACGGCACACCCCGCACCCCGCGCCCCAAGTAGCCAGCACCGCGGCAAACCCACGGTGAACCCACCGCGTCCGAGGCGGCGTTTGCCCTGGTGCCCGCGGCGCCCCCCCCAAGACGTTCGGCCGCGCGTCGGAACAAAACGGCCCTGCGAAACGTAAGAAGGCAGAATAGCCAGCCCCACAGCAAGCACCCCATACAAACGAAGCCCTTCAGCAAGCGCACCTGAGGACGGAATCGAACATGGCAGGTACGCTTCCTAGAAACCCACTTTAGTTAGTACCAAGGACTGCTCTCTGGCGGTGGGCAGAGCCCCCATTCAGCAGAACCACCTTCACTGAAATGACCCGCGACCAAGCCTGCCAGGCGCAGTTCCGCGAACATTGCGGGCGCCGCACCCTCTCAAGAACTGAACAAGATCGGAGGCCTGGAAATGGGCACCAACACCAAGACAGGGGGCTGCCTCCGCAGGGGGGAGATGTTCCTAGATTACGGTGTTGGTGGAAAAAGTGGCCACCTTGGAAGCCAGAAAATTACCACCCTCACCGAGATCGGGAGCTTTCTTCCCCCGGTGAAGGAACACCGCCGATGTCGGTGTTGGTGTCGGTCCCTGGGCCTGCGACAAGAGCAGCTCACTTTTCGACACTCGCCTTGGCAAGGGGGGGGCTCTACCAGCTTCCGATACTCAGTGGGGCTCGGGGTGGCTTCTCCCCTCGCGATTGCAGCAGGCAGCGGGCGGCAAAAGGGGGCTGGAGCCCGGGCGTCGGCGGCAGGAGCCCGCGGCGCGGCGCCCAAGACCGGCAGGCGCCGCGGACACTGGAGGCGGCAGGCGGCCGACAGGAGGACGAGGATGAGGGAGAGGCTAGCTTCGTTTTTCGGCGGCGAGCGAGGGGGGGAAGTGAGAAGGAGAAGGCCTTCCCAGAAGGCGGCGGAAATTCTCGGAAGCCCTCGCGCCTTCTGAGAAGCTATTTTCTGTCTTCGGGGGAGGCTTACAAAACTTCTCAGAAAGCCAGGGGACGTCCGAGCCTTCTGAGAAGGCCCGCCCCGTCTCACTTCCCCCCCGGGCGCGCCGCCGAGTTTTGAGAAAGAGAGGGGGGAGATGAGGAAACGAGCTGGAGTGAAACAAACAGGCGATACCTGAATACTCTGGCAGTGAAGAAACGGTCAGGTGGCAGTGCAAGAAACAGTGCGGCGGGAAACGTGCTGAAGCGAACTGGATCGACCGGCAGCGCAGGAGCAATCAAATCAGCTGGACCCCTTTGAGAGCGCAAGGCTGTGAAATATGCTGCTGGAGTACTGTATGGTGCTCATTGTGCTGACGACTGCTTTTTGTCTCTAGTCTTCCCGATCCTCTTGGATTCTCTTGTCTCCCCAGTCCCCTCCCCAACAAACCGTCTACTAAGGAGCCGCGACTTTCGAAAAACAACTCGGGAAGGGGGTCGCTCATCCTCTCTGCCGCCCTGGGTCAACCCCGGATTCGCATGGGGGCGCCACCGTGCGGCCAGGAGGGCCCAAGAGGCCGTAAGGGTGAACTCTCCCGCCATGGTGATTTCACTGCTGTTTTGTCTGTCCCATGTTTTGTCTGCAAGATGTCCACATATCGCTCCAAGACGGCTCCCAGAGCCTTCGAGGTTGCCGAAGACGGCCCCAAGGTGCCCCCCCAACGCGCCCAGATGCCGCCCAGATCGCCGATCACCCAGGGTGGCCCAACAGGGACCCAAGATGGCCCAAATATGCTCCCACCATGGGCCCCGGAGGCTCACGATAGCCAGCGTCGCCCAAGATGCCCCGACGGTTGCCCCAGAGCCGGGGAGACGGGAGGAGGAGGAGGAGGAGGAGGAGGAGGAGGAGGAG